AGCATCAACTCCTCCTCCATATCAAATAGGGATGGCAATAATATCCGTAACCATGGATAGCCGCCCGAATCCGACTTATTTGGGTAGGGTAAAACCCGACCCCAAATAATTTTTAGTGGGTATGGGTAAAACCCGAACCCGAATATTATGGGTAATGGGTGGGCATGGTTTTCTCACTATCCAACCCGAACCCGCCCAATTATACAAATGCATATGTATTTTGTCTAGAAATAATCAATTTTTTCTCTATAATATTTTATATTTAGCATATAAATATAATATTTTTATGAAATTGTAATGTTTTAATTAATTTTCTTCATTCTAGTGAATTATTGTCGTACTTTTCATCTTACATAACGTGAGAATACGTGTGAATATTAACATATTGGTTAGAGTTATAAAGAAAAACTATTACCCATGGATAACCGTGGATACCCGAAACCCGAACGGGTATGGGCATGGTTTGAATTTTCTACCCGTTTCTTATGTGGGTATGGGTATGGGTAAAACCCGAACTACTTTGGGTAGGGTAACGGATATGCACTATCCGTCCCCGACCCGACCCATTGCCATCCCTAATATCAAACAAAGCTAAGAAGATCTGAGATGTGAAGAAGGTAGGGGTGAAACCAATACTTCCTCCCTCTAAGATTCTTCTTTCTAAAGCTACGTCACCTACGACAGCCGCCATTCGATTCGTCGCCATTCAATTTGCTCTTCTCCTGCCTCCTCTAATTCATCCGCCCGACCAATTTGGCCTTGGTCATGTCCAACCCCGGCCTGTGAACGCTAGTCTGTGAGCAAAACCCGATGATGTAGGATTCATAGAGAGGAGCTCCGGCGGTTTCGAAGGCGTCGTGGATTTTCTGCTAGTCGCGATTGTGGACGAGGAGGGAGCCGGGGGCGATGGCGGCAACAGGAAGAGGAAGCTCTGATCAGCGCATTGGATCTTTGTCAAATCCGGCTAACGAGGTGCGCACGGAGGTTGCCGTCGCGCTTCCAGATCTTGGATTTATCGGAAAGCGTGATGCGGCCGACGAAGGGGATGACGGAGCTCTCGAAGTCGAAGGCGGAGTGCCGCCACCAGGCGAGGGAGCCTCCGGTGCCATTTCGCCCAGGCGGAGTGTATAAATCTATATAGACTGATTTCTATTGAACGGATAGTTTCTCTCTTGGTTTGATTATAGGAGAATCATGTTACATTTATACATTATCTGTAAAGGGAAATGAAAAGAAAGAATTGAAGATGGCAGCTATCACATGGACACAAAGATAAGGAGATGGGGAGAATTAAAGAGGAAGATGGGTGTGCTCTGTTCTGTTGTTCTGGGTGAAGATGGGAAGGCGAAGAAGATGAGGGAGGGGAAGGGGCCACTCCTCTGCCTCTTTTTGTCTTTTTTTGTATGTTTTAATTGAAATATAATTAAGTTAACGGCCTAGTCAGCACTTCCGTTTGCCACTTCATCAAAAACTTGACGGCGTTAACGGACTCTAACGGAGACTAACGACTGGTGACTAATGATGAAACAAATCGTAAAGTTAGTGGCTAATAAGAAAGAAAAGTAATTCGGGTGGCAAACGTGAAAAATTTATGTAATTTAAGTGACCAAACTTGTAATTTAGCCATTAATTTTGGTGTTGCTATTCGCCGCCCTAAAACTTCTTATTTGTCACCCTAACTTTCATTAAAATAACTTATATACCGTTAATTGATCACCACTACTTGGGAACGGCTACGGTGCTAATTGTACAATAGTTAGCACCGTCCTAACCAAGGGAAAAACTACTACTAGTTTGAATTAGTAGTGATTTAGCTTAGATGTTGTATTGATTTTATAATAATCCGTAGTGATTTCGTTATTTTTAGTAGCGTTTTTTGCTAGTTATCACATAAGTGTTAGCACCTAATCCCATCCCCACTACTTCGCCCCCTGCCCACCGTGCCGCCGCCATTAATCAATTTTCCTCTTCAAGACCAGCGATTTGCTGCCTCCTGAACTCATTCACCGTCGGGCCAGTTCAATTCTCTTTTCACTTTTCCCTGCAAATTAGGGGTCGTTTGCTTCAAGGATTTGCATCATGGATTTGGTACAAAAAAACCAACTATTAAGGATTTAAGTACAATCCTTTGTTTGCTTGGTCCAAAAATGTTGAAACAAATCCGTGGGCCCCACAGATTTAGGTTCTTTTTCACTCCAAATCCGTGGGGCCCACAGCTTTACAAATCCCACATGATTATTAGGGAATTGGTGATGGGCTGAAAAACCAAGAGGCCAAATGACACTCATATCCTCATTCTTTTTTATTAAACCAAAATTGCCCTCTTCACATCCACCATATCTGCCGCTTCCTATTCCTTCTCACCAAACCTGGAAACCTGTCGAGTACTTCCCTTCCTGGAAAATTGCAGCCGACATCAAACTCTGACTGCATCAAGCTCCGACGGCGTCAACCTCCGACGGCGTCAACCTCCGACGGCGTCAACCTCCGACGTCGAGTCTACGTTCAGGAAGGGAACCTCCGGCATCAACCTCCGACGGCGAACTCGAACGCAGGTGAGCAGGGCACTCTGTTCCTTCTGCTGAATCCATCTTTGTCGCTTAGCTTTTGCAAATCATCTCCATCTTATACATAGCTTCCATAAGTTAATGAATTAGAAGGAAAAGGAACTCTGCATCAAAGGAACCCTGTGTGTTTGTTCATCTTTAAACAAACTTATAACATACTTTCTCTGCATCAAAGGAACCCTGTATCCTGAACATTCTGTTTTTGCGAAGAACTCTGCCATTATAGTGCTTCCAGTTTAACCCTGCTGCTAGTGATCATGTAATAGTCAGATTGTATATTTGTTGGATTTTTTGCTTGGATATTGTATTTTTGAGTGTCTGGTCAGGTTAGAGACGCAGTTCGTCGGATTATGTTAGGAAATTGGGAATTTTGAGCTGAATAATTGGCGGTATTACTTGAGCTGGTATTACTTGATCATAATTGGCGGTATTACTTGAGCTGGTATTACTTGATCATAATTGGTGGTATTACTTGATCATAATGCCATTCGATGGTTTTGCAAATTACCTTGATTGCCTTGTCCCTGTCGACTAGTGAGTGCGTTTTCAGATCCTTGTGGATCACTGTTTTGTTGGTTTGAAGTGAATGTCAACAATGCGTAGTACTTGAGCTGAATTTGATGAATGTTATTTCAGTTGATTGAGCAGTTCACTGTTATTCTTAGCTAATTATGAATCATTTTATTTTACGTATAAAGGATATGGCTAGATTGACCAGAGTTCCTACTGCACGCAACCGAGAAGCTGCAGCAGCAATTAAAGTTGTCTTAGGGTTGTTGCTTGGTTATTTTTCATTGTTGGTCGAACTGTTAGAGCTATTAATTAGGAAAAAGCTTGAGACTAGCAGCAGAGCTCCTAACACCCCTATAGATAGCATATTTGATCGTGAACACGATAAAAGACGTTATATGAGGCGCATAATTGGGTTGTCTGACACTCATTGTATTAATAAGGTTAGGATGAACCGAAACTTGTTTAGGAGGTTGTGTGACCTCCTTGTTAGTGAGGGGGGGTTAAAGGGTACTGACAACGTAGACATAGATGAGATGGTGATGATCTTCTTGATCACAATTGGCCACAACGCAAAGAACAGGACATTGCAATTGGATTTTTGTCGATCGAGGAAAACTATTTCCAATGTATTTCACAAGGTCCTTCACGGCGTTCTTCGACTCCACCACATCTTACTTCCTAAGCCTGAACCTGTACCGAAAAACTCGGAGGATGTGAAATGGAAGTACTTTAAGGTGACAAGCTGTTAATTATTTTCTCTATTGGCTAACTTATTTGACATTAGACTAAGGAAACTTTTTTTTATCTTTAGGGTTGTCTAGGGGCACTAGATGGAACGCATATTAAGGTTCGTGTCAGAAATGAAGACCAACCTAGATATCGAGATCGCAAGGGGACAATTTCAATGAATGTGTTGGGAGTGGTTAATCAAAATGTTGAGTTCCTGTATTGCTTAGCTGGGTGGGAGGGTTCAGCTCATGATGGGAAGGTGCTTAGGGACGCTTTGTTAAGGCCAAATGGGTTGCGAGTTCCCAAAGGTAATGTTGAGCTAGCTGAAAAAATAAACTGAACAAAATGATTATGTTTGCGAACGTAGGATTAACTTATAATCCTTCCATTTCTTAGGAACTTACTACCTATGTGATCAAGGATATAGCAATTGTGATGGCTTCCTAACACCATATCGGGGGCAGAGGTATCATCTTAAAGAGTGGGGGGCTTTAAGGCCAACAGTAGCCGAGGAATACTTCAACATGAAGCATGCCGGGGCAAGGAACTGCATTGAGAGAGCTTTTGGAATAAATAAAATGAGATGGGGAATCTTAAGAGATTCAAGTTGGTTCTCTCCTAAGGTCATGGTCCAAGTAATTAATTCTTGTTTTCTACTGCACAATTTCATCAAGAAAGAGGCAGGTGTAGACACATTCGAGAGGGATTTTGTTGACAATGAGCCTGAGCAATATCCAACAGCTTATGTCGAGCACATTGATGATGTTATAACAATGGTTCAACCTTCAAATGAATGAAACCATTTTAGGGATGACATGGCAAAGGATATGTGGTTGAATAGGAATCGTAGGGGATGAACTGTTGTAGTATGTGATTGTATTTGTTGTAAGTTTGTTTACTGTTTGAACAATGGTTCTGCCATGCTTGTTATGTTAGCGAGAAACCTATGTATTGAATCTTCTATCAATATTATGGTTTCTTTATGGGTTGAAACAAAGGTTCTGCCATGCTTCAATTAATTGTTGTACTCATTATGTGTAACCTTGTATTAATCTGTCATGAATCTGGAACTTTTTCTCTACTGCTATCATGTATCAGGTAGATGTGAGCTTAATTGGTTAGTATCTATTTTTAGGAATAGAAAGGCTGTGTGTGATCTTGTCATTGTTCTGTTCTAATTCATTTTACAGGATGGGTAGGAAGAGAAAGGTTGTGGAAGTTGTGGAAGGAGAAGGTAGCCAGGAACAACAACCCAAGGGACCCTATTTCTCATGGACAGAACAATTGGATGCTCTCCTTATACAATGTATGCAAGAGCTGGTACAGAAGCACCAAGTGGAGAATGGCAATTTCAAAAATGGATCTTTTACTGAGCTTGAGAACTTGGTGCATCAGAAGGCACCTGCCTGCGGAGTAAAGGTGGAACCAAATATAAGATCCAGGCACAAGAAGCTGAAAAGGGATTTCATGGCGGTACACTTGCTTTGTTCGAAGAGTGGACAAGGCTGGGATGAAAGCACATGCACACCATATCTTGATGATGATGTGTTTGAAGACCTGCTCAAGGTATGAATCACGTATTCTTGTTTTATAATCAAACCGGCAGGTTGTCTTATTCTATTCCTACTAGCTGTCATAAGGTTGCTTCGTTTCTGTAGGTGCATCCAAACATAAAAAACTTGAACAAGAAGCCTTTCCCCTTCTACAACGAGCTAGCTGAGGTATTTGGGAAAGGTGGGACAGCTGTTGGTCGATGTACAGGTGGCATATCTGATGGTCCACCATCACCTGAATCTGTCATGGATTTGGAAGGATTTGACTCACCAATTGACCTGGATTCTCAAAGGACCACAGAGATTATGGATGACTTAATCAACGAAGGTATTGAGCTGCAACATCCTGCCTTTTCACCTCCGTTTGATCCAGTAGGTGCTCCAGCCACCAAGATTTAGCCTTGTAGACCAAAGAATGCAGCTGCCAGCAACAAATGTGCTAAGAAGAAGGCAAAAAAATTTGAAATTAACACTGATGAAGCTATAGTTAATGTCTCATCCCAACTTGGTGAGCTGAAGCCAATAATCTTCAAGGCTGTGGAAGCTCTTGGCTCCATAATAGGTGATCGTGATGGTGAGAACAGTAAGCAAGCTGCTTTGATCAAGGAGATAGGGAAAATTGGAGGACTCACTCGTGACCAAGTCATTGATGCTGCTATGGCTTTAGTGGACAACGAGCCAAAGACTCGACTTTTCTATGCACTAGAGAGCGAGGAAGACCGGTGCTACTTCATCAGGAGCTTGCTACGTTGACATTAGTAGTGTAGGATTGACTTCCTAGTCTATTTTGCAGAACACATGTGGGATGTATGCGAAACTTTTTTGTTTGTGCAAGGTTAGCTCATGCTGGAAGTTTGGCTGTGGAAAACCATCATTTTGCAGAAGTTTCCTTTCATCCCAAATGTTATAGCTGTGTTAGACTTGTTGAAAGGGGAAACCATCATTTTGCAGATGAGATGAAATGCTGAAGTTTCTGTGAAGGACTGCTTCTTGCTCTATTTCCTGTAACTATTTCCCTCGGGAGAAGTCAGGTGGTTTTCCTCTCCAGCTATCTGGGTTCAACCTCGGTCCAATTCTAAATTGGTTGCAAGTATATAGCCGACGATATCTAAAAGCAAAGGGGAAACGCATAGCAGTTCTTTATTTCTAAAAAGGGCAATAAGGTAAATGCAATTCTTTATTTCTAAATCCCAAATTATTAAATCCATGATCAAAATGAAGAAACAAACAAAGGATTTTTCCAAATCCAAAATGCCCCAAATCCCAAATAAAACCTTAGGTTTTTAAATCCCACGTTTAAGTGAAAACCCTCATTTTACAATCCTTGAAGCAAACGACCCCTTAGTTACATTTTCAGATAATCATAAGTAGTTAACTACTGCAAAATTGGAATGGTAATTGTTGGCTTCAGTAGTTAGCTTCGGGAAAAAATCTTGGGCGTTGCCCTGTTGCCTTGGAATGGCTGGGAATTTTTAATTTCAATCATTGATTGATTCTACAATGAAATGAACGATAGGGTGAATGATAAGAAGTCGGAAATTGATTGATCCTTGGTGCCCCGTTCAGACTTTCATTGTTCTTGAATAAATGCTAGAAATGAAAGAAGGAAATTGCATGTGTGTTGGAAAAAGAAACAGCAGCAGCAGGTCGGTGGGCGACTGGGGAACGACAGCGGCGAACCAAGGTGCAGATTCTTCTTCCTTCTCTTAGGGAGACCAGCGCTCAGACCTTCTACGGTTCTACCTCATGCTTCTTTCTTTCTCCTTCCTCAGCAACAACAGGTTGGCGGAGTGGGGGAATGGGAGCGGTGGAAGGTTGGGGGAACGACACCGGTGGTCGGACGGTTGGTGGGCTGGACGGCAATCCAAGTTAGCGATTAGTGATTGAAATTGGGTATAGGGATATAAATGTCATTTTAGTACGATTTAGGGCGAAATAATTTAAATTTTAGGGTGACGAATAGCGATTCAGTTAATTTTTTCTAGTAAGTAAACATGACATGATTTAATAACCTAATATCAATTTTGGTCACTCTAATTACTGAAATATGTCACATTTAGTCACTCTTTCGTTAGTTTCCGTCCAACTCCATTAATAGAGTTGGACGGAAACTAACGAGAGAGTGACTAAATGTGACATGTTTCAGTAATTCTAGTGATATGCATAAAAAAAGTAATCCGAGTGACTGGAGTTGAACGGAGGCTAATGGGAAAGCGACTAAATGTGACATATTTTAGTAATTCGAGTAACCCAAAAAATAGCTTTTCTAAATTGTTTATTGTTATTCAAATTTACACTTTCTACCAAATTATGAAGTTTGAACAAAATCCAAAAAACCTCTTAATCTTACCTATTTAAAACCAAGGACCATTAGGACCGTATGCACATTATCTTATATCTGACATTACACATCCTTTACTTTCTTTTGTAATTTATTATATTTCAATGAGAAAAGGCCAGATTACAAAGTAACTTTCATCGCTTTTGGGCGAGGCAAAAACGACCATAATGTAACCACTAACCAGGAAAAAATAAGAGCCAGGAATCGCATCGACAAGGAGATTAGAATACTGGATTCTTTCATGCTAGCATAATCAAACGAAGAGCCAGGAATCGCATCGACAAACTGAAAGATGATTCAGGGAACTGGTTGAATTTAGACCAGAACCTTGAGGGGCACGTTAATGGCTTCTACTCTAAACTTTTCTCAAGCAGAAACGGAATCTTTGACCCTTCCCTTCTGACCGATTTCCCGGCGCTGGTTTCGCGGGAGAACAACAGGCTCTTAAATGCCAACATTGAGAAGGCTGAAATACGTAAAGCAGTCTTTCAGCTTGGTGCTAACAAAGCACCAGGCCCTGATGGCTTTCTAGGACATTTCTTTCGGCAGTATTGGCACATTGTGGGGGATAAGTTATGTGAGGAAATAAGCAACTTTTTCAGCTCCTGTATCATGCCACCAAATTGGAATGACACATTTATCACTCTGATCCCTAAAGTTGGAGCCCCTGAAACCATTGGTCAGTTCAGACCAATAAGTTGCTGTAACTTCCGTTACAAGGTAATAACAAAGATCCTGTCCAATAGACTTCAACCTCACCTGCCAAATCTTGTGAATGAGCTTCAATCAGCATTTACGGGGGGAGACAAATTCAAGATAACATTGTTATTGTACATGAAGTCCTAAACCATTTCAAGAAACACAAGGAAGGACATAATAAGAACATGATGATGAAACTCGACATGAGGAAGGCCTATGACCTGGTGGAATGGGATTTCCTCATTGAGCTACTGAAAGCCTATGGTTTTAATGACAATTGGTGTGGATGGGTCAGAACCTGTATTGACTCAGTGAAATTCAGAATCTTGTTCAATGGAAGACCCTCAGAGGAGTTTACCCCAACCAGGGGCATTCGACAAGGTGATCCCCTCTCCTCTGTATTCTGATGTCCAATGCCCTATCGTTCCTGATTGAAAAAGCAGTACAAAGAGGAGATATTCGAGGGTTAAAACTGAATAGATCCTGCCCTACCCTATCTCATTGCCTCTTTGCCGATGACACAGTCATCTTTGGCGAAGCTTCAACTTCTGAAGCAGAGAAGATCCTGGGGATCCTCAACGACTATGGATCGATAATAGGACAGGAGGTTAATAGAGATAAATCTTCCTTCTTCTTCAGCCGCAATGTGCCAGATGATGAAAAAGAAAGAATCATTCCGACTGTTGGATTTGCGGAGTCGAATTGTCACTCAAGCTACCTTGGCGTCCCTACTGAATGGGGAAGATCAAAAAAGGAAACTTTTCACTTCATCATTCAAAGAATGGAAAGCAAAGGAGAATCCTGGAAGAGTCTGCTTTTGTCACCAGGAGGTAAAGAAACACTCCTTAAGGTTGTTTTCCAAGCCTTACCTTCCTTCGTTATGTGCCTTTTTCTTCTCCCACGATCAGCCACCAACAAAATTGACTCCATGCTCAAAAATTTCTTCTGGGGAGGAAACATTTCCAAGCGATCAATACACTGGAGAGCGGGACATGTCCTTTATGCACCTAAAGAGGAAGGGGGGTTGGGGTTCAGACCCTTTTGCATCTTTAATCTGGCCCTTCTTGCAAAGCAAGCGTGGCGTGTCCTTACCTGCCCAAATGCTCTGTGGGTGAAAGTGCTAAAAAGCATTTACTTCCCAAGAACGGATTTCCTGTCAGCAAAAAAGGGAAGCAAAGCATCTTGGATCTGGGCCAGCCTCTGGGAAGCGAAGAACTGGATGGAGAAGGGAGTGATTCGAGTAATCGGGAATGGGGAAACAACGAGGATGTTCCAGGATCCCTGGCGCTTTGATCGGCCAGGTCCCCTCACCCCTCGCAGACCTAATGATTCATCAACGGCTGCCATGTTCATAGATGCTATCACAAGAGAATGGAATTTCGACCTCTTGGGACGGCTGCCATGTTCATAGATGCTATCACAAGAGAATGGAATTTCGACCTCTTGGGACAGTTCCTCGACCCTCAAGACCTTCTCATCACAGCTGGCACACCTATTGGACCTGCTACAATGGCTGATTTCTGGGCATGGAGATTTTCTGAGCAAGGTAACTTCTCGGTAAAATCTGCTTTTCACCTCATTCACAATCAATCTCGCAGATGCCAAGGAGATGTTAACCCTTTCCCGGAAGCAACAAAAGAAATGGAAGTGGCTTTGGAGCTTGTCTCTCCCTCCAAAGATGAAGTTTTTCGTCTGGAGATGTGCAGAGAATGCTATGGCCTAGAAAGAGAACCTGTTTGCGAGGAAATGCTCTCCCACCAAAGCATGTGCCCTCTGCAACTGTCCATCTGAATCAATCCACCACTGCCTTTTCTCATGCCCACACGCAGAGACATGGTGGGTTTGCGAGTGGCCTGGACTGTGTCTCCCTCCTCCACTCACCAACATGTTGGATTGGCTGTTCTCCCTACAGTCTCGACTTTCAAGTCTCTCGATCCAGCGAATCATTTTTCAGATGTGGCAGACTTGGAAGACTAGGAATGAACGTATTTTCTCAGGTATTTTGCCTTGGCCACCCACCACGACCTCCAGAGCACAGAATGCACATCACCAATGGATAAACTACCCCAGGAAGATTGGAGATCTACCCCTACAAACTCAGCACAATCCACCCCTTGATCGTTCCTCTCCACCGCCAAGTACTCATGACTTTGAGATACACTGTGACAGATCATTTTTCAGTGATTCATAGGAGGCGGCATTTGGCATCGTTGTGACGAATTGCCACGGACAGGTGTGTGACGGGAAGGCTGAGACTCTGCATTGCTTTTCACTACTTGAAGCAGAAGCAAAGGCCCTTTGGGAGGGAGCGCGCATGGCAGCTTCACTGGCAGCACCTTGCCTGATTCTTTCTGATTGCCTCTCCCTCATTAAGGCACTTGACAACAGTAAAGATTGCTGGCCATGGCGAGCAGCAGTTTGGATTAACCACACCAAGAACCTTGCATCCAGCCACCCAGATATTCGGTTCGACTACACCAACAGGAAAAGAAACTCCAAAGCGAATTGGGTAGCGCGGTCGTGTGCAAAAAAACAGCTTCCATCGGAATGGATTCATGTACTTGATGTTATTGCTCCTCTGTTGTAACCGATGGCTTCTGCCACAAGTAATGAAACTCTTTGCCCTTTGTAAAAAAAAAAAAAAAAAAAAAACAGGAAAAAATGAAAAGCAACGAAACGCTAGATAACCGCAGTAAAACCATACGCCCGCAGCCTGTACTTCCCACTAAGGCATTACTCAATGATCAAGGCTTCCCCCTCCAAACCGAGAATGGTATAAAGTGTGCAACTCTGAAGTATACAGCAATTCCCGCCGTGACAAAAAAACTTGTAAAACCCTTTACCCCGCCAAAATACTGTTCCTGCCCACCTCAAAATCAATCAAACCCAGCTAGCTGCTTAGCGTGCACTTGTCGCTGAACCACCACCGCCAACTCCCTTCCCGCACGGCAAAGCCCTCGAATCGAGTGGAATTGTGCCAAAAGTTAAAACCCCAGAAGATTCAGCATATTCATTGACTTTAACTGGGACCGTTCCTACAGTGACAACATTAGCAGCGTTGCTGCCAGTAGCTGTTCCAGCTGGGTCGGGGCTTGCCATGGACTGAGGCTGCCTCGGGTTTATATTGAGCGATCCAATCTTCAGAGTGGTAGCTGCTACTACACTGTTGTCTACCTCAGCAACTGCACGGTCAGAGGACTCACTTCTGGTGGGGGGTTCGGATATAGAAGCGATTCTTGCTGTGCCAGATGATGCCTGGGTCTCCTGAACAGCTGCTTTCTCGTATTTAGTTGAGGGAATCCCAACTCGACTATTGAGTTTGGGATTGGGATCCAATGCAGCTGCTAGGAATGGAGTTCCAAACCTCTTAACTGCAAACCTCGTTTTTTCTTCTTGCATGATTCTCTGCCGGTTCTCATAGTAGGTGAAGTCATCGAGTAAAGAAGTATCCAAAACTTGGCTTTTGAAAATCTTCAGCATCTCCAGGCCTTGCATGAACATTACCTACATGAAACCATAAAGCCACTTCGGTAAAGCTTTCGTAAAAGAAACCCATCTTTGCAAAGTTTAAAGATTAAATGAACTTGCTTCACACGTATTTGATCGAGAAGAAATCTCACAGTATTAAACAAGCAGTAAGGCTGAAGGTCAGCTATCCCGAAAAAGAAATGATGGCATACCTCTTGAGTGTCTCGGCTATTAGTAACTGGCTTATTTTCATTGTTCTCCAAGATAATATGCCTTAAGCTGCCACTTTGTACATCTTTAATCATGTGCCACTTCACAGGGAAACTACCAGACCATTTATCTTGCTGCCAAAAATCCATATCCTTTCTGAAATCAACTGGACCAATCATCTCAGCAACACCACAAAACTGTCCGCTTGCATTGACCTGCACCATCAAATGACCACATTAATGGAGCTCCTTATGATGTATATTTCTCAATAGGTGAGAAGTCCGCACCATCAAGGAAGTAAAGCTCACCGAAAAGAAAAGGAAGATGGGACAACTGCTAGCTTTATCTGCAGCTATCTTCTGTGCATCTTCATAGGCACTCTGCAGCTTTTTGTTCCCATGAGGAGTTGATGACCAAACATTGTATTTGATGCTCTTGTGAACATCATCCTCGCTATATGATTTTATCACAAAGAACTTTCCACAAGTGTAGTCAACTTGGAAATCATCCCTGTTGTAATGATCAGAAGAAATTATGATATTTTCCTCTGCATTAGGATCACCAACTTTGGCTGTGTATACTTTAACAGCTAACTGAGTTTTGGATTTGGTTGTTCTAGGTCCACGATTCTGCTCACCCAGTGCATCGTCATTGAGGGTTCTGCCAACATGGACATTTGATCGATTCTTGTCCATGTAAGGTCTTCCATGAGCATTTGCTCCAAAATCAGAGAAGCCATTGTTGACAGGGGAAGCAAGTTTCAACAGATTCCGCTGAGGTAGAGCCTTTACCTTTGTGTTGCTGTCAATCGACCGAATGGGTCCAGATGCATTCCTGCTCTGTTATCAATACAGTTATGATCATTGAAACAAAACATGTGTGAGAATAGTTTCATGGTAAGGAATCATGTACAATTGAACAAACATGGTTACAAGCATGAGGCTTGTGTTTTCTCTTTTGTAAAAGAAAGAAGAAAACCAGATATTTACCTGAAGCACACGTGTTGTTGCTGTTTGATAGCTACCAGAAGAAACATTATCATGCACCAAAGAATACTTGTAACTTCCAATGTTAGACCTAGGTCCCTCAGAAGCTGGTCTTGCCCACGAGTTACTCCTACCACCATTTTGTAGCAAATTTTCCGGTTTGGAAAAACGACCGTCCTCGCCGCAGCGCACCGGCGCCAGCCCGCAGCTTTTCACAACCAAGTCAGGGCTGTTAGCTTCAACAGCCGCTGCAGCAGACATCGCCCAGCCGCCCAACTGTGACGGCCCACCGAACGGCATCGTCTTGAAGAGAAGAGCTGGGATGAAACGGAGCCACATGTGTTCCGAATCAACCCTGGTATTTTCGCTCACCACGAAACCAACATCAGAGATCACATTCGCGCCGTCGATCACAATACGGAAGCTGAGGCTGAGGCTACCCCGAGCCACTGAGCCACGGACTTCAAAACTCGCCCACACGACCAAGCCTTTGAGACCATCATTGCTCCACGAGTGGCTTCCAGACACCTTAAACGAGGTTGTGCTAGAACCCACATCCTGGAAAGGACTCCACTCTGGTATGATACTGCTCGCCGGGATGATGATAGATAGTACATCAACCGACGGTGAAGACATCTGCATTGCAAATCAAAATGTATAAATTTGATCCAGCACAGAGAGTTTAAAGCAGAAAATAGCTAGAGAGTAGGATCATGGAAGCTTTGAAGGGGACCTTTTGTATTTGAGACAGTAGCAACCTGACAGCTACTTCACAATAGCTTCGTGGACCATGGCCCGATCGGGATTCAGTACCCAATTGCAAGCAATTCATGAGGTTAATGCCCCTCATTCTTCCCGATTCATTGCCTGCAGGGTAATCCATGAATTGCAACAATGTACAGTTTGGTGCTTCCAAGGAATATGTTGTAGGCGGCAGCCTTGGTATGGACAGAAGCTTCTCGCAATTCGCCAAGAGAAGAACTTTGATGTTTTTCGGGAGTTCCTTTCTCGACAATCTGGCAAAGTCATTTCCGCTTAGATCCAAAACCTTCAGGCTGGCCAGAGAACTGATGCCCCAGAACCGATCCCGCAAGTTGCAATAACTCAGATCCAGATGAGTCAAGGAAGGGAACTGATATGTTACAAGGCCAAAGGAAGACTTGCTTAAGCGAGAACTTTCAGAGACTTCAGAGGAAAGTACATCGTGCTGCCTAGAATGGTGAAGTGTGATTATTTTAAGCTTCGAATGGCCACCAGCTACCAGACATCTCCAATCTAGAGCAGTTCCTTGTGCATGGAGTTCCTCTAGATTTCCCAGCATGCTCAACTCGAACAAAACATGCCGAAGATCAGCACAGCCCGAGAGTCGAAGTATCTTCAAGGCTCGGCAACTACCAACGGCCGCAGGAATAGATCCTAAGCGTTTACACCCTGTGACGCTCAACACAACAAGGCCAGTTAACCTTTGAATTGACGAGGGTATCTCCCCTATATCCGTACCATCGAGAAGAAGCTCCGACAGGCTTTCCATGTTCCCCTCCACCTCGGGAAAATTCTTTAGCTGCGAACATCCTGATAATATAAGAATCTTCAACGAACTCATGGCAATACTGGGTGGCAGGTGAAGTAAACTTTTACAGCCTTTCAAATTCAAGTAAATGAGCTTTTCCAAAGATCCAGCAGAAGGATGAAGCTCAACTAACTTCACACAACCTTCAAGAATGAGTATCTCAAGGTTTGGGATGAAAGAGAAATCTGGTGCGTGGGTGAGCTCTTTAGAGTTGCTGAGTTTTATGAATTTCAGCTTGTCAAAAGCCTGCAGAAACAAGTGTTTGTTTCGGATGTTAGATAGTTGAACTATAGAGATTACGTAGAAACGGAAAAATATGATACTACATCTAGAGTTTTCCAGGTTTTAGAGGATAGACTCAGGATTTTGACTACACCTCACACGTTTATATACTTCAGGTAAGAGAAACTATTTATGCTTTCTACAACAACTGACATACCTCCTTTCTTGACCAACAGTTTCTCAAGCGACTGTATGACAGATTAAACTCAACCAGATTCCTTGGATAAAAATTTGGAGGCAATGTCTCAAATGGATATCCATGCCAATGGAGACTAGTCAATTTATTTGAAAGAGTTCTCAACTCTCCTGAAAAATGAAGCTTATAATCCTCAACTGAGGAGTCATTTCTACCGGGGCTACTGGATGGATGTCCAGCGAGTTGAAGACTTCCCAACTCATGTGGAAGAGATTCTAATTTCCCCGAAAAATAGGCATCATTTCCTCTGCAGTCATAAGTATCAGGACACGGCTCATTTCTGGAAACGTACTCAGAACTACCAGAATGTTGTAGATAGCAGATCTTGAGCAATCTGAGACTAGTCATCCTGTGGAAAGCATCAACTTCAACAGACATCTCATTCACTTTGGAAATATCGAGGGTAACACCTTCAACATGTCTTGTCCCCTGGAACAAGTAGAATGAATTGAGTTAGTACACAACCGTACACCTAGCATAATTCATAGGGTCTTCTTTTGGAATAATAAATAACAGGTTTTGAATTCACTAAGACATGACTGAAGATGTATGTTCTTGCTCTTTACTCACAATGTTTTGTGTCAATACATTCTGAACGTCCTGATGATCCCACAACCTGGTACGCCGGCCAGCATCCTCAAAACACTCTTGACGGACAACTTCCCACCCCATCTGTTGCACCAAATCATGCATCCAGATCACATTAGTGTCATCCTGCAGAATCAGAAGAGATCTACGACGAAGGACTTCTAATCCATAGCTTGCAGGGAAACCACAAGCTTCTAGTATGCTCACAACATAATCTTTATCCTCCCCTTTAAAGAAACAAGCAACATCAAGAAATATCTTCTTTTCATTTCTAGAAAGCGTGTCCAAACTTAATCTAAGGACCTTAATTACGTCCCCTGGAGGTTCATCTTCAAGGGTGTCCAGTTTGCTTTCCCATTCACCTTTATGCATGTTGAATAAAGAGGACCCCAGAACTTTAAGGGCCAAGGGAAGCCCCTGGGCATAATTCACAACACGTTGTGAGAGTGCAGAAAAATCTTGCCTGTTGGAGTTAGCGGAATTCTTAAAAGCATGTTGCTGAAATAGTTGAAGAGATTCAGCGCCACTTAAAGGCTTGACCTCATAAATTGAGTCCACTCCATGCTGCTCCAGCAAGTGCTTATCTCTAGTTGTCACGATGATTCTACTCCCTGCTCCAAACCAATCGCGATCCCCTGCCAATCTTGCCAACTGATCTACATGAGACACATCATCAAGAACTACGAGGACGCATTTGCAGAGAAGTCTGCCACTCATTAGCACATCCAGTTGCTGTTCTGACATCTTAAAACCATCTTCCACTATCAAAGCTGAAAGAAGTCTGCTTCGTAGATGATCCAACCCATGTGTCTCTGCTGCCTCTCTAACACACTTCAGGAAGCAACAAGCATCAAATTTATGAGATATTTGGTGATAAACAGCTTCCGCAAGGGTGGTTTTACCAATGCCTGGCATCCCCCAAACCCCAACGATCCGAATATCAACCAACCCTGTATGCAATAGCAATTCCACTTTCTTTATTGGGATTTCCATTCCAACAAGGCCAGAAAGCTTGTTCGAGACATGACGACCCAGCTTGTTCAGTACATCTGCCACAATCATACTAATAAGAGTCGGTTCGTCCCTGCACATAAATGACCTCATCGAACTGAGAACTAAACATTTGCGAATCGAGCATAAAATGCTGGTCAGATTTCGGAAACAAAAAGTTGGAAGAGTAAAGAATATCGGAAGTTCGTACCGATTGCGGGAGCCCCAACCACTAAATTCAGCAGCTTTGCTGAGAGCAGCTCTCCAATTTCGGAGCAATTCAGGATCGCGAGGGAAATCCAGCTCGTGTTTGGCAAACGACTCAGCGTAACTGTTCTTGACCTCGCTCACATCCGACGGGTCGATGTTGTAGAAGATTGGGAGCACCGCTCGAGTCTCGTCTCTCTCCGTGCACTGGATGATGGCTTGGAGCTCTCCCAGACACCATGGGGAAGAAGCGTAGCCTTCAGAGAAAACGGCGATCGAAAATCTGGATTGTTGAATCACCCGGAGAATCTCCGGCGTTATTGGTTTCCCGCGGTCGAGATTCTGATCGTCCTTGAACGTGCTGATCCCTCTCTGCCGGAGCGCGTTGTAGAGATGGCTGACGAAGCCGTGCCGAGTGTCGGCACCTCTGAAGCTCAGGAAGACGTCGTAGAGGAATAGATCGGCGGGAGAGGCGGCTGTCGAGGAGGAGGAGGGTTCACAGGCGGCGGGGAAGGACATGGTGACACTGGGGAAGTACTAGCTAGGCCTAGGATGCTCTACTGATTCCAAGCTATGTCAACGACTACGATTCAACGATACCGGGCGGCAGATGGAAGGGGTTCAGGGAGTCAACGTCAACCATCTCAAACCGATATTTGAAGCTCTCTTTTCCTCTTTGTATTGACAAGAAGTAAATTACTTATCACGCCTCAGCCCAATATGAACCTGATCTCGATGAATTGAATGGAGAATGGAGGAAGCAGAGTACTGCAATTAGGGAAGAAATGAAGGGATTGAGAAAGGAAGAAGAAGGTTGGGAACGGAGCCAAGAAGAAGAAGAGACCAGGGGGAGAACAGAGAGATTATGAGTTGCAGAGTTAGTGCTGGAGCGAGAACGGAGTGTGAGAACTTCAAATTTAGAAGAATTTAAGATGGACAGCGTAGTGAATGGCTTGAGTTCAAGTCTTAAGTCTCATTCGAGAATTTTAAAGCCTTTTTAGTGGTTGATAGTGGATTAGGTAGTTAAAGGAGGTTAGTAGTTAATAAGTAGTTAAGAGTAAATGGGGTTATGCAAATATAATTAATATTATTAATTAATGATTTTCTTTCTCTCTCCTCCCATGATTTTCTCCATAACCCTCTCTTTACATTATAATAAAAAATAAAAAATTAATTTTATTTAATATTTAATAAAATCTGAATTTATTAATTTTCCTTTTTAGAATGGAAATTTAAAATTTAAAATATATGGCCTCTCTCACATCTTGGCAACTTGCAATTTAGTATCAATATTTGTAATGACATTATCAATATTTATAATTTGAATCATCATTAGGGTTTTTCGGTTTAGGATTTTTCGTTTTTAGGTATTCGTTTGTGTTATTATTAATGTTGTTCGACAGGTTTTTAATAATTTTATGTGACATTATTAACTTTTTATGTTTTGTTTTGTTTGTAACATTAGCAAAAGTGAAATTGTGTTTTCAATTTGTTGGTACTTGAAGTTCATTTACTATTACATCGTATTATCAATTTGGTTCGCAATGATTTATAATCATTTGAAGTGCTATTATCAATGTTTTTTGCAAGCACAATACAATAATTAGCAACAATTTATTTCATTGATTTGTATTATTAACTTTTCCGTTTATGTTTGTAACTTTGTCAAATGTCATTATCAAGAAGCATACTTGTTAGGTATTCGTTTGCTTATGACATTAGCAAATGTGATTTGTGTTTAATGATATAACTATGGTTATTAACCTTTCAGGCTAAATTAGTAACATAGTTGGTGTCATTATTAAAGGGTGTGTATAAGCATTATTAATGTTTGAAAAAATAAGATATTAATAATATCTAGTAAGGTACTTAATAATTATTAGTTGTTATCATTATCAAAGTTTTTGGTTGCTATAATTATTAGTTACATTAAACACATGTTAGTTATTAATGTGTTTTAGTGCTATTTGACATTAAACAATTAATTTGAATATTATTAATATTTTTTTATTACAAAATCTATTTCCTTATCAGTGACTTGCTCATTTGTTAATAATGGTTTTTAATATCTTTATTAAAAGCTTGATGTCATTTTATAATGTTGAAGTCGGACATTATTATATTTATTTTTTTGTGTTTATTTTCAACGAAATACTTTTCATTATCAATGCTTTATTAGATTGTTATTAAAAGTTTGGTGTTGAGGCGTGAATGTTGGTTTGTTTGAGCTAATATTTTTCTTGACAATGTTTGTTTGACTGAATCACACAGGTGCACTATGTCACAAGTACCTAAGATGTTGAAAATCAATATTGTGCTTTATGATCATTGAGATTGATAATGTAAAACAATATTAATTGATAATAAAACGTTAATAATGTCATTAGAAATAATTGAAAGAGGTCATGACTAGATAGTTATAAACATGATGTGAAAATGTGAATCATTAGTACTAAAGATGTTGTAAATCAATGATATTGTTATTCAAACTGTTTTTTTTTATGAATGATTTTGTATTTGTATTAATAAACTGTTGTTTGCTCAAAAATTCAGAGCTCATCTGTGTTACAACTGAGTATAACATGAGAGAATATTACAACAATTGATAGAAAGAGAATTCTCAGGTAATGGAGGAAGAAGATGGAGTTACATAGCCAAACAACCTAGTTAGTACTTAGTAGTAGTGCCTCCTGCTGATTCATACCACCTTTGGCCACATTCCAATTTATGCAGCTGTTGACTACTTTGTGCATGACCGGGTCCCATGAGCAACTGATATCTCTAAAAGTTCTTGAATTTCGCTTTATTGTTATTCAAACTGTTAATGACCATGTTACATAATTTTAAGGATTCATTCATAGGCGTTGATGACGAAACCATAAAATGGTAACAGTTGATTCAAAATTGTTAATAATATAATTGTAAAGAATGGATAAGTATATTGAAATCGTTAATAGTGATGAGGTATAATAATAACGATTCATTTCATAAATGCTGATAATGTCATTGCAAAATGTTAATAATGCATTGCAAGTTGCCATGAAGAGAGAGCATATATTTTTAATTTTCAATTTTAATTTTAAAAATAAAAAAGTATGAAGTTAGAATTTATTAAATATTAAATAATATTTAATTAAATTAATTTCGAATTTCCTTTTCATTGTAAGGTTATGGAGAAGATCAAGGGAGAGAGAGAAAGAGAATCATTAATGAGTCATATTAATTATATTTTTATAATATCTTATTTATTCAAACTAAATATTAACTACTAACCATCATTAACTACCTAATCTAGTATCGGCCAATAAAAATAATTTAAGAACCTCCTTAAGCAATGAGACTTAAGGACGGGATCCAACCCGGTAGTGAATGTGTCATTATTAAATTACTAGCTTATAGCACGGCCCGTTGGTCGTGAATAGTTTAAGCAATATGTCGTCATGGTATTTGTAGTTTCAGTGGCGACAAATGAATAACGCGATATAGTATGAAAGGTTTGTTGGGATTTTGCAATTCGTTGAGCAGGCATAACTAATTTGAAGGAACATTGACGATAAGAACCCAAAAAATCATATACTAATGTAAAAAATCACAAACCATTCACATAACTAAAGTTACAACACCTAGTGTAAACCGAAGGGAGATCCATTCCACAAATAGTTAAGAATGATAAAGCCTCACAACAAACCCTAGTGTTCGCAAATCCAATATGCATGAGTAGTAGGAGTGATGACATGAAGGTGGACATTAGGAAAATTTAATGAATTATGTTGACGTTGGTGAAACAATATTCAGTTACCTAAAGGTAAGAATAATTTGACCAAAACCAGTTCAAAATAATTAAAGATGTTGTTCCAGGTACTGATCATGACCATGACTTCATAAGAGTTTCCACCAATCAAGTTCAGAAGAGTGACATAGTCAACATAAACATCTAGAGGACTCACTACAGATGCAACGATCCTTCGTAAGTATGTCGACGTCGACTAAAAAATGACATCAACATCGGTGATGTCATCCTCAATTGTTAATGATGAAGATAATTTAATTTTGTATAAATTGGATTATTTTTTTGTTGACTATCTTATTAGCCTATCATGATTTATTAAAATTTTGATGACAAAAGAAAATTAGATTTGTTAGGTTACTAAACATAATTACAAACATAGTTTTGGACAAAAGAGTTTACCTCCTATCTATTTACAATTTTAAATGTAAAGGGGTTCGTCAACTTAATTAGTTGTACAATTGAGAATACTAATCAATGTTATTAACTACTTGCAGCATATAAAAACCGTAGGGAAGTGTGAGGCCAAAATAGAATTTCTATCGCTCTGTCCTTATTTCATGATACTCCAGCTCAACTCGAATTCAATCCTGATTGCATCAACTCAGGACTTACTATAATCAATGTAAGGTGTTGATACGAAAAGAGATTCTCTGTGAAATTGTAGCGTTAAGCATGGCATGAGGATAAGAATAAGAAACTTTTATATATATATATATATATATATATAACTTGAGGTATGTTTACATATATGTAAAGACAAGAAAAGCATAATTCAATTTGTAGTTAGTAAAAAATGATGGTTAACAGAACTCACCAGTTGGAAATGATCGCAATTGATCTCTTTCCTTAGTATGAACCGGTTATAGTTTGTCGCTATCACTGCCTCCCAAACCAAGCTCATCAAGAATATAACTAACATGATCAAAAAAAGAATATAACTAATACCAATAAATTGTTTTCCAACTAATCTTGCCACTCAAACTTCAAAAAATTATATATATATATAAAACTTGAGGTATGTTTACATATATGTAAAGACAAGAAAAGCATAATTCAATTTGTAGTTAGTAAAAAATGATGGTTAACAGAACTCACCAGTTGGAAATGATCGCAATTGATCTCTTTCCTTAGTATGAACCGGTTATAGTTTGTCGCTATCACTGCCTCCCAAACCAAGCTCATCAAGAATATAACTAACATGATCAAAAAAAGAATATAACTAATACCAATAAATTGTTTTCCAACTAATCTTGCCACTCAAACTTCGAAAAATTGGAAACTCATGCCATTTTAACTAACAAGGCATTTCCTGGAAAACAATTTAGCAAGAGCTCCTTAAATTTTGCACTATGAATCCTCTTACAACAGCTGACCACCAGCACATCTGTGTTAGCTTCTCTAAACTAACGGGGACAAAATCATAATTAATTGAATGATAAACAACTGAAAAGGTTATGAATCTTGAACTTGGGAGTTAGTTCATCCCCTCCAAGAAGATTTTCTCCTAGAACCAACAACAAGCGAAGAGTTTCTTTCGAAGTAATGTGAAATAAACAAACCAATTCATCACTACTTCCTAGATTTTTCATCATACAAATGGGAAAATAACTAATGTTCTTGGTAAAACAAAATTTTTAAGAATACATAGTAACAATCACACTAAAAATTAAAACGAAGTATAATAGTGGCGGATCAACTTGAGGAAAACTACAATGTATGTCAAGTAAAAGGAGAGAACAACAGGTTATAACAGCTTTAACTATCAATTGTCATAATAGGGGTTGTATCCTCCATAGTGTAGCAGTGTCATACCTAGCAAGAAAAAGAAGAGGAAATGCAAATGAATGAACTAACTAATAATAGGCGAAATAAAAAGAGCAAAGAGTAAGAGCGAGTGGTTGAGTGCAGACCTTTCATATAAAAGGTTTCAGTAAGATGCGAGACTAATATGGGGTGTGTCCATGTCTTGGATGATGTACCTATGAGAATTATGAAGAAGCTGGATTATTAGCAAAAGAAGAAAACACAACAGTCATCCCCTTGCAAATGCAGAGTGATCACTCACCAAAGATGACCTATATTGCACCAAGTCCATCTACATTGAAGGAAAAGAGTTTTAACCAAGTCTAAAGATGAACAACATAAGCATTGCAG